TGCATGCATAGCACGCAGTAGCATTTTTTGCAAACCTTCTAGATAATCATTACGTGTTACCAACGTCACATGACTTTCGCTGTTGTAACAATATGGTGCATACATACAAGATCTGGTATCGTATGGTACATACATGCAAGATCTAATATCATATGGTACCAACATGCAAAATTTGGCATAATAAGGGGTGTTGAAAAATAAATCACACTTTTCCCCGAAGTAATGACGAACTTGGTAGGACTGCAAATATCATCACTCGTGAGAAAACATCAATTTAACATACTCTTGGGTGTTTGACTCTTTGAATTTCATTTTTTGCAAAAACTTTTGAATCATGGTATTCACTAGAACTCAGGATCATTTCGCATGTGATATGCAAAATGGGATGGCTCAGAAACTAATTGCAGACATGCTCCGGCAATTCAAGTCTTCCAATCAACATATCGCAATGCCAGATTGGAAAAATCTGATTAATGCCTCAAAAGTTTCAGAATTGTTGAATTTGAAAGAGTGGTTTGTTTAAAAGTGATGGAATGTGGATAGGGAACGCTCCAGATTTAAATCCCGCCGAAAATGTCAGAGCTTTCGTTCAACAATACACAGAAGAAATGTTGGAAACTTTACCTGAATGCGAGAGACACAAATGTAAAACCTTGATTCGTGTTCTCACTGATGTGCTCACAGAGACAGCCACATAAACAGACATGTTTGTTGCATTGCTGAAATCTTTTGCAAATTGATTAAAACTTGTGCATGAGAACAATGGTGGCCCATCAAGCGATATTGATACTTGGAATTACTTTTTTGATTGAATTAAAATCTTATTTTACTTTGTTATACTCTCAAGAAAAAAAGTGTGATTTATTTTGCAACACCCCTTATGGTACAGACATGCAAAATCTGGCATCATGTGGTACTATTATTGAAGATCTGGCATCATTTGGTACTATCATATAAGATCCGATATCATGTGGTACCATCACATGATACTGCACCATATGGTACCATCACATAAGATCTGACTTCGTGTGGTGCTATCATGCAAGATCTGGCATCATGTAGCACACAGGAAAATATCCTCAAAATTTACTGTGATTCTAAACAATTACCCTTTGTTAGTAGTCTATGTACAGGAGGAACAGAAACAAACTTCTACAACCTTACATACTATCTTTCGCCCCTTCTACAAATTAATAAACTACATCATTAAAACTGAATAAATGAAATTTCATTTCACTACTTTCCAATATTGATAACATAAGTCTGGTCAAATTTATCTACTAAAGCAGAAGAGAAACTCAAATAAATACTTTTTTTCTTATAATAATGCTTTGAGTTATGCAACTACAACCAACCATACTGTGATGTTAATGTTCAAGTTTGTTTAAACAAACAAACACAATTTAGTCTTTGCTATGTCAAACAATAAAACAACAGAACAATTTCTCAATCTAAATACTGCCACCTGGCTCTGCTTACTGACAATACGTCGTGGCCGAAATAAAGTCACAATTGTTAAAACAAATTTGTAAAAAATAGATCAAACATATACATTCAATTATCTAAAGTCCTAGAAGAACTGCTTCCAAGAATTGTCATGTTTCTTTTACAAACATATTGAAAAAGCAATGATTAGCAATTTTTATTTGGACTCTTGGACTGCTCTGACCAACACATTATAATGCATCCACAGTAGTAGGGGCAAGTACATCTACCTATAGTCTGTAACTTCAAAATTAGGGACAGCTGATGCAGGTAGCCCCCGTGGAGTTTTGTCCAAAATCCAACAAAACAAAATAAACATGCCTAAACTTACCCCAGTAAAAAGACCAATAGAACACTGAAATGTCAAGTCCGTCAAAACCTTAAACATTTTTTTTTTTAATAACAGTTAATGTTTATGGAGCTGTCATCTGTTTGACCCAATATCTAAATTTCAGAGCTTTCTGTTAATAAATAGACACTACCTATTTGTGTAGATCGATTAATGTAGGCTCATATTCATAGAATAAAAAATAAATAAAGTGCTAATGTAAGGCACAAAAATCTAGAGAAATTAAAACCATATTCAATAATATACATCATAATAATTATTTAGATTTTAAAATTTCTAGGAATTGGCTTGCACATTCCTAAAACATCTTATCTACTGTTAAGAGTTACTATAATATAAATTAGAAACTTGCTCCAAATGCTTCAGCATTAACTACCCATCATCCATTAGAGCTTAGCTAATACATCAAATTACCATTTAAGTTCTATCATCTCATAATTTTGGGTATAATTCTGTACTGTTGATATTTCTATGAGGAATGTAAGTGTGGTATAGATTAATGGTATTGGATCCTTACTATTACACAGCTTATTTTACACTGAAAAACATGATTTACATTTCCTTGGGGAGCAGAAGTAGTTTTCATTTTTGTATTTCAAGCTTATCTATAAAAAATAATTATATCAAAGGGCAAGTGGATTTTTTATGCTCTTTATTTATGTTTGTTTTAGTTTTTAAACTTGTGTATTCTCAATATATTTAGGTTTTTATGCCTGTAAGATGTATTTCACGTGAATATCGTACCAAACACAGTTACAGTATAATATTGTATTACAATGAAACCTTCTGATGATTTTCTTTCTATGTTAATAAAGACATTATTGTGAAATGTCGCATGATCAAAAGATTAAAAAACAACAAAAACATCTGTATATAGAATAAGCAGTTTCATAACTGAATATACCAGTGAATTTGAAAACCATAATTCATTTCAGTAGCCATCTCCACATTTTTGTCTTATACCAAACATAGAGTGTCAAATGGAAATAGTGTTTTATACAAGAAAATACTTACTAGAATTGACTAAGTACTGGTTTGTAACTCCAGGATGGTCAACATCATGAATAGCAGCTGCAAACAGTGCAGCAAGAATTTCCAAGTCTGTGAAAACTGACTGAAACATTTAACAACAAGTTAGTCACAAAGATGTTTATAACAACAAATACAGCATGCCAGTATATTTCAGATTCAGTATCATGCTATTTCTTTCTGTAGGATCAAACCAACTATGTTCAGTGTCTAGTTAACAATTATAGTGCCTTTAAGGTATTTTTCTAAACATACGTTAGGAAATGATTGTTGCATTTAAGTCCCATCAAAAGATACATCTTATCTACAGTACTTTGATTCAAAGTTTGTAAATTAAATACACTTAATGAATAATCAATAACAGCTTTTCTGTGCTACAATAAGTAACATAACATTAGATAGAAGTTGCATGAGTAAGAAATAAATTTTTTGTATTATGAATTATTTATTATTTTCGCAAGAATGCTATTATTCGAAATATACATATGTAAACTTTCAATGTCATACATGAACACCCCAAAATCAAAGATATTAAAAATACCATTATTTAAAATGCATTCATGCATTAACTGTCCTTTACACAAAACATGAAAAATCAAGGTAACTAACTAACTTATCACTAATAAACCATACCGAAAAACTAAAGTGTCACACTGCAAAAATCACAAAAAATATTATGCTTGGAAAAAAAATGAATAAACCACTTCACAAATAAACCATCTAGACAAACGAAATCAAAAGATGAAGATGTGCCACTTAACATATAAATCAACTAGACAAACCAAATCAAAAGATGTGCCACTTAACAAATAAACCATCTAGACAAACCAAATCAATAGATGAAGATGTGCCTCTTAAAAAAACAGTCTATACAAACCAAAAGATGAAAATGTGCCACTTAACAAATAAGCCATCTAAACAAACCAAATCAAAAGATGAAGATGTACCTCTTAATAAATAAACCATCAAGACAAACCAAATCAAAAGATGTGCCACTTAAAAAAAACAATCTATACAAACCAAATTAAAAGATGAAGATGTGCCACTTAACTAATAAACCATCTAGACAAACCAAATCAAAAGATGAAGATGTGCCACTTAACAAATAAGCCATCTAGACAAACCAACTCAAAAGATGAAGATGTGCCACTTAACAAATAAACCATCTAGACAAACCAAATCAATAGATGAAGATGTGCCTCTTAAAAAAACAGTCTATACAAACCAAAAGATGAAAATGTGCCACTTAACAAATAAGCCATCTAAGCAAACCAAATCAAAAGATGAAGATGTACCTCTTAATAAATAAACCATCAAGACAAACCAAATCAAAAGATGAAGATGTGCCACTTAACAAATAAGCCATCTAGACAAACCAAATCAAAAGATGAAGATGTGCCACTTAACAAATAAGCCATCTAGACAAACCAAATCAAAAGATGAAGATGTGCCACTTAA